CCTAAAGGAAAGATGGGGAAAATCTTTTTAGTAGGGCCAGCTGTGACAGGACAAGGGGTAATGGCTTTAAACTGAAGCAGGGTAGGTTTAGACTGGATATAAAGAAGAAATTCTTTACAATGAGGGTGGTGAAACACTGGAACGGGTTGCCCAGGGAGGTAGTGGATGCCGCACGCCTGGAAACATTGAAGACCAGCTTGGACTGAGCAACCTGATCTAGTTAGCGGTGTCCCTGCTCACTGCAGGGGGCTTGGACTAGATGACCTCTAGGGGTCCCTTCCAACACAAAACATTCTATGATTCTATATGATTCTAAGTTAGATCAACCACTAGACCTTTCTCTCAGACTACATGCCAATCATCTCAAGAATCAGCAAAATACAAGTAGAAAGATATGGGAATGTAACAAAATTGAACGAGAGTCACCTGGGAAGACAGCTTATACACTGAAGGTGTGACACACCAAATTCTGTAGGCAGGATGTACGACAAATAAGACACAAGGAAGGTTCATCATAGTGGAAAGGAGAGAGAAAAACCGATACACAAAACTAACAGTGCTTAAGGAGGAATTTCTAATTTCATTTCTGTACTTATGACTGGAGTTGGACTGGATTTCCTCAGTAGCCTGATGAAAGATGGGAGGCACAGATAATCTCTTAATAGTTTTGTACACAACTGTAGTGAAAAAATGTGGATATTAAAGTTGGGTTTGTGCCTAAAAATTCTGTTAACAAAAAGCACATGAACATTTTTCCATTAATAGTCACAGAATTAGTTTTCTTAAAACTATTATTTTAAACTAAGTTTCAAATTAGAAGTGTTGCAGTGTTGAAGATTAACTTAAACTACTTGCCCACATACAAGCGGGAGATTAACCACTAAACTGAAAATCTAAACCAAATTTAAGCAATTTGGTAACAGATCAGAATTACCCTGGTTTAAATTTAGTTCCTTCAAATGTAATCCGTTCTTTGGAAGTTTAATTTGAAGAGCACATATATTACGAAGCATATGCATCACATTGGCTGTTTCTTGCTACCTTCTTTGCCATAAGGTAAACAAACTTACAATACTAGACCCACTACCTAATAATGAGACATATTAATTGTGGAACATTTAGTTTCTTAGATCTATGGTCCATTAGAAGCTTGGTAAGGGCCAGTTGTAATATGACAAAGTTAAGCCTGAATACCTATTCCCCAAATGGTAACAGTAAATCTTCAGGCTAGTTCCATGCTTTGTTTTGGATTAACATATAAACTAATCTTTTACTTGCTGTGTTCAAAAAAAATACTCAGAAAGTCTCTCATAAAATGAATTTACTTATTTTCATGCTTATAATCACAATAAGGAATGGCAAAAATTTGAAAAGAGAGATAGAAAATAATCCTTCATTCCATTAGCAATCTCAGTAACTGAATTCTCCACTCTTCAAAAAATATAGCCAGCCTGCATGCCTAGAGCAATTTATTAGTGATACTACAGAATGCTAAATTTTACCTGCAAAAAGCTTTCAGTTAAAAGAATCAAAAAAATTCACTCTACCTTTTTAATTCACAACAGTTTAGGGACATTGATTTGTTTCATCTAACACATTGCTATCTTGGCTTCTTGAAGGAGAGGTGTCTTGCAACTCAAAACTACTTGCATCCAATATCTAACCTTTCAAGCAGTTCCTAAGCACCTTTCAAGGCCCATGGCACTCCACTGGGAACTCTTTAACACAACCTTGTAATCTAACCTCCTTTTAAAGAATTTCCAAATGAGAAAACAGGAAGAGAAATACTAAGACAAAGGAGACCAGTTAGCAAGTTATGAAAAAAATTAACAAACAGATTAGTACAGTCTTTATGAGTGCATATGCAGTTTGGAGTTCATGCAGAGAAGGAAACAATTCAGTGTTGTACAACTGACATTTTTAGAAACTGAGGCAAATATATGGCAAATATGAGGCAAACTTATAAAAATAAAGACACAGGAAGTTGCTGAATGAACTATTGGGAGCTACAAGTTGCTCTCATTAAAAAGGCTACACAAACTAGAAAGACGGATTGCCACACTGCAGCATTTTCATCTTATTCCAAACAGAGAAAAGTGGAAGAAGGGATGTAAACTATTTCTGAAGGTCTTCCCTTTACAACTCAGTTTCCTAGTAGTTTTTGAACTTTAACAATGAACTGATGTTACAAAGTAAATTAGACATGATTAAGCATATTAGTGTATCTCTAACAAAGGCCTAGACAGTCTGGGATAACTTAAATTAATACAAACCCCAGAATGATTACTATTAATGAACAAACCATTTAGAACCTGAATGTTTCCCACATGAACTTCATTACTAAAAGCATAAAACTATGTACCAACATATCAACATTCAGTCCACTTGAACTTAATATGTTACAGTGAAGAATCACTAACACATTTTAATAATTTTCTACAAAAGAATCCCAGTGATGACATCAGCAGTAGCATTACAGATGACTGTAATAACAGTGACCTAAAAAAAATTCTATTGTCACTTTAAAATACAAATATCTGCCAGATTTTCTTGTCTTGCAGAAATATGGATAAATCAGCATAAAACCAATCTCAGAGATGGGCAATGACTCACTTTTGCCACAGAAAAAATAAAGATACAATTTCAAGTCCAATTTTGATTCCACATTGCTATACTGTTCTCAAAATATAAATTACTACCTTTAAACTGGTGTTGAGACAACTATTCAAGCTAAATATACAGGTAAAGTTTGCAGAATATTTGTTAATGGGAAGCAAAGAACAATTTTTAAACTTTTCTTGATGCATAGTGATAATTAGCATCCACTAGCTTTTCTTACATGACACATGATGGTAGTTTCTAAAGCAGCAAAATCCAGAGAATGTTAAGTTTGAATTTAGTTTCAAAGCATTTAAAGAAGATACGGAATTATCACACTGGTGAGACTACAGCACTGGTTTTTTACCCTGGACTTCTCATTCTTCAGGCATTGACAAATTTTTTCAAAACAGAACTTCAGAAGAAATATATGTAACTTAGATTGTCAGAATTAAAAATGCAGCAGAAAAAAAAATTTCCCCAGATAACACTTTACAAAGCTAAATTATTTTTATTCTGGACTGAATGCTCAAAACCTCATATAGACTTTGCAGCTAGCATTTTGAATTCTTCTATATTAGATTTAGACTTCCTTATGTATTACCCCAAGCAACTTGCCCCTGAATACATTCAAAGAGCAAGACACCAAGAAGTAAAATTAAGAGGAAACCAGGAAAAAAAGCTCTTTGAAAATGAAATAAATAATAAAGAAAAAATTTGTGGTTTCTACTCAGCTTTCCACCCGTAAGCTTGAAGTACCTCCCTAGGAAACATTCTTCTAGTCAACTATTTTTTGACAAAAGTTTTGACAAAATAGTTTTTTGACAAAATAGTTTTTGACAACTATTACTTTTGAACAAAAGTAATAAAGCTTAAGCAAAAATCACTACTTCACACTTCCATTTGAAGTTTTCTTAGGGAACAAAAAATGTGACTTGAACAACACTGAATTCAGTCAATAGTGGTTTAGTTGCTAATACAACTAAATAGTATCTCTAAACTTCTGTTGCACTGATGTAAGTCTAGATTTTCTCAAAAAGAGAGATAGTTCCATTGTTTTAGGCTTTCTCTAAGAAACACGTAGCAGAAATTCCACATACAAAAAGATCCACAGTTTTCTGCACCTGTTTTAATTTCATTTTAGCAATTGTGAAGCAGGGAACAATAGGAACCATTCTGAACATTACTGAAAAGCAAGCTTAATATGAAAACAGGAATTATGTCATGCATTATGGGAAGCTAGTATTACATAATGCAGAATATCTGATTAAGTCATGCAAAGAAGCAGAAAATACCTGTACCGAGCCACCATGTCTGTCAGCTGCTAGGTGAGCCCTCAAATGATGTGGATTGGCTTGCTGTGAGTCCCAAGCTGCCCTATGGTCTGTTGACTAGTATTTGAATGCATTAGGAATATATGCAAAAGAAGAAATAAAAATTCCAAAAATAAACAATTCATGCATTAATTATTACGTATTATATTTTAAAAGCACAGAAGCACTACATACTCAATTCCTATAGAGACTTCAACATTATCTGTATACTTATATATGCCTACACATACATTTTCATAGACGAGTAGCTAAAACTCAAAATTCCTAGTAAGAAACAAAGTCCCTCACACAACCTGTAACTTAACTTAGGTAAATGGACACAGATCTAAATTCCTAATGTTTTTACCACCTTGGTCATTATCCCAGTTTAAAAAAAGTGGAAGTGCTATACATACATGTTCGAACCCAACAGATGATACAGTGTATGAGGAAGAGACAGTGATTAAAAACAGAGAACTGAAACAAATTTTAAAAAGTATCCACAGAGAGAAAATTCACTACTGATGTAAGCTACATTATATCATAGCATCAAACAAGCAACCTTTTAGGACATGTTGAAGTCTACAGATGTAGAAGTACCTTAGCAAGGCTCTACGTAAATGAAAGAAAATACAAAGAAAACCTGCAGTCAATTTTATTTTGGAGTTCTAATAAAAGCAACAACATAGCACAAATCATTAGACAAAAGACAAAGTAATGCTGATAATCTTACATGAGCGATTTACCTGATTTTTGGATTGTTGCATTTTATCTCTGTGCTGATAAGCTTCTCTGTTTGAAGACAGTGCAGGGTCTGCATGTATTGAACCCACTGGAGTAGGCTACAAATACAAACAATATGTAGCAACTGGTAAAAAAAATAAATTTCTAAGTCTTACCAGAAGTTACTGCTTTGTAATGGAGATTAATCTTTAAATCTGACAGTTTCTCATAACCCAAAATTACCAAATTAAAGCAAAAACTTCACTAGATATTTAATAATAACAAAACCAAAAGAGTCAAACCAAGACTTACACAATTTCATGAAGTAGCAATTCTGAGTATTCTGAGGCATTAATTTTCTGAAAGACTTTAGGCTGCTGTTTTCTGCAGTTAGCAGTTAGGACATTCTGTTGAAAGTCTGAAGACAGGCTTAAAGTAATTTTTAATGCTAAACACTGAAAAAAGATTTAGCAATAAAATACTATGATTCTTTCAGAGAGCCACACAAGGACCTTCAGGATAAAATGTATAATCTGAAATTGTCCAGCTTACACACACAACCCCTTCCCTACTTATTAAAAAGAAGCAAGGAAAAATTTGAGGTGCTGCAAAATTCACCTTTTATTCTTTTCTTTAAAGAATATAAACACAGTATTTTCTGTAAATATAGTTGCACTGTGATGGAAACATATACCATATTTCATTAGAACTGCATATAAAGTATAGACAGTTTCTTCATAGTGAACTGATAAATATCTGAAGTATACCTCAGATGCAGAGAAGTGACTGTGCTCTCATTTTAAAAATACTGGGAGCAAGGAAGTCCCCAAAGCAAGAAAACACATGCAATAATGACAACCAACTGTAAAGTTTTAAAACCCTTCAACTCAAAAAACAGTCTGAACTCCTACAATGTCATTTTGGATTGAACAGAGATTTACTTTCATATTAAGAGTACATGTTTGGAAAGAGACTCAATATGAAACATTGCAAGCTGGAAACAGGTTTGCAATAGCAGCTGTTCACAACTCTTAACAGCCATGAGATGCACGTGTATTCTGAAACCTACGACTAACACTGGCTTAAACTGATCACGCAAAAAACCCAGTATAGTACTAATAGCTTAATTGTACTCACCAATTGTTTGCCCATCCAGTCATATTCATAATCAAACATATAGCCTTTCCGATCAAGTAAGTCTGTGAAGAGCTTTCTTAAGTAGTCATAGTCTGGCTTTTCAAAAAAATCTAGCCTTCTTACATAACGTAGGTATGTAGCCATTTCCTCTGTATAAATGAGAAACATATGTAATTACCATACCTGTTTTAATGGTATTCAAAAACCAGAACTTTTTATGACATTTTAAAGCAAACTTCTACCTCTAACCATAAAATCTGGACAGTTGTTCACCATGAAGAATTGTGAATACCAGAAAGAAAAGTTACTTAATAGTAGTAATATTCTTCAAGATACACTGCCATATTCTAAACATATCCTACCTAGTGACCCTCCTTTGCACTACCTGTCGAGATCTTCCATTCAACCTTCCAATCCTGGTGCAGAGTGTGCCAAGAAAGTGGGGAGAAAATGCCCCTACTTTTTTTTTTTTTTTTGCAATTAGTTGTACAAAGACAAACCTAAGGAAAGGTAAAGAAGGTGGTATATGAATGTACAGGGTAGACCATGTCTCAAAGAACACTTGTTATTGGAATATTACCTTCCTTTCTTTAAGAGATGATCCACACGTATGTTCTAAAGTGGGCAGCTCCAATTATCCTGACAAAAACCACTCAGTACAGGCTCTGTTGAGCTGTAACTGTAGTATGATTATGGAAGGCTGCAGCAGCGCTCAATGCTTCAGGCATCATGTTATGCGAAGGTATTGATCAGAACTGGCAAATATCCTGAACAGAAACACTGCAGAGAAGTACTAAGGTTACCTGAACTCTTGTAGAATGACTTCTGACCAGTGTCAGTTTAATATCGCTGTTTAAATACCATGTCAGCATACAAATGGAGATTCATTTGGGTAGTGTTACATGGAAATTATAAGAGTCTCCCAGTAGTGGAGACAACCAGGGAGATTTCTGAAAAGGCCTGGACCTGTAAAGATAAAAGGAAAGAGCTCTCCTAGTCGTTAAAGGGTATGAAGTACAGATTGTGCACTAGCAGCCAGAACCTTCTAGTTAAGACAATAGTTCCAGCATAAAGGTCTTTGCAGGTGAATAGAGCATACAGAAGTCCCATTCTTGATAATGGGTATAGGCCACGAAAGGCTTCTGAAACAATAGGTCTAAGGAACAAGCATCCTTATGGACAGAAGACTACAAGAACCCAAGGGCTGAAAGGGAGGATTCATGTACATCTGAAGCACAAGCTTCAAATCCCATTGAAAAACTGCTCAGATATGTGACTACATTTGCAATAACTCCTTCAGAAATCAGTGAAATGAGGGGCATGTGAAAATACATGAGAAGACATAAACGCTAACAAGTTTTCACAAAAGACCAAGTCCTATCAGTCCTTCCACTCCAGCAGGTGTTATAAGAAAGAACTAAAGGAGCGGAAGAGTGAAGAGAGCAACAACCTAACCATACTGAAATTTTGGTTCATTCAGACTGCATCTATCAATGCCTTTCTGTTACAGAAAGAAAAAAAAAAAGGAAAAATAAAAATCACACTGCAATGGTTTGGAATAGAGTACTGCAGCAGTTTCTCACAGTCTAATGTGGATCAGGTGAAGCACTCGACCCAAGTCCTGGGACATGAGTTCCAGGTGGAAAGAGCTCTTAAAATCTAACTTCTTTAGGAACATTTGTAGGTCATGAAAGAGTGGCAAACTACCCACTGGCAAGCCATTCTGAGAATAGCAATGGCTCCTCACTCTCAAGACAAAAAAGCTGTTCACATGGTCCCAAAGTACATGAGAAAGCACTTCTATATGATCAGAAAGTCAGAGAACAAATAAGGTTAAAAGTAGATGCCACCAGCACTCACAGATCCCATGAAGAGGTATGTATGTCAGAAACAGCACAACAGTATCACTGCACACTCACCTTGACCCACACATCACATTCCAGTGAGTCTGGAGAAGCTGACATTAGTGGTACAAACAAGGTGCCGTAAGAAGCCTATCTTCTGACAGAGGATAGCGGAGAAGTGCAGAGGCAGTGCTAAGACTGAGCTATGCTAAGTTAAAGTTTTTCAGAGATAGTGGGATAGAAGAAGGGAAAGTGAAGGTTTTAGACCAGCTTGATAACCAAAAATTGTGAGGCAACATCATGTTGGTGTTATCAAGAATGCACCCCAGGACAATGGTGCCGAGACATCCCAAATTTCTTAATACTCTGGTAAAAACAGAGTATTAAGAGGTGTATTTTAGGCATGAGCAGATGGAGCAGCGGATAGGAGGAATTCCTTGACATCTAAGAACCAGCTCAGCAGACCAGGAAGACTCTTCAGCAATACCAGCCAAGGAGATCAGTGTTTGAAAAAGGTGAAGAAAAGTGTTGACACATTGCTAGTGACCTCTTTAACCATACTTTCCCAATGTAAACCGGAACCCAAAGCATGCAAGGCATGTCTTCAGAGGTATAAAGGCTGGAACTGAGCCATTTAATGCAGCTGAATCTGTTAAAATGGGCTGACTCCAAAAATCAAATACCACCCTTATCACGCATTTGAAGTAGAAACTCCAGAGTTTAAACCCTTGTTCATATTTTATACAAGGCTTGAAACAGCAGTAATGTTGCACACTCAAAGACAGTACAATTCCACAGAACAGGGGATGAAAAAGGTGTTTCACATGTGACAAAGACCAAAGTATCTTTCACTGATACTACAGAGTTCCCTTGCCTTATGGAGCATCAATCAGCTAACTCAGTCTGCCGGCTGACTGAAAAGAATTGAAATGATGGTGGTTATACTTCTCATTATATTCTATGTCATAAGTGACAAGAAGGATAGGAAAAGGTAGAAAATACTCAGATATCTGGTATGTAAAAACTTCCCCATACAAGAATATACTTATTATGAAAATTTATTATGTACTATTGAAGTAGTTTATATTTTGTGTTCTCCAAGGTCAAGTATATTTTCCCTGTTCCTTTTTCAGATCCAAACAACAAGCATGTGCTTGACTAAATTTGGTGGAAACAGTCCACTAGATACATAGAGCTACTAATGCATAATTATTTCCAGAAATTGCACCATATAAACCTTAATTTACATACTTAATTTTTAAAGGATTCTAGCAAATACACACACACAAAAAATCATCAACATGCAAAGACATGCATACATTACTGGATGAAGATTTATATTCCAGAACAGGTTTTTTTTTCCCCATGTTTAAGAATTTGTCAATTTTCCTCTAAGTTCCATAACAAAAGCCAATTTCACTTGATTTTATTTTTTTTAATACACAGAAGAAAGTGAAATGAAAAACATATGAAAAAATTATAATGGAGTGATTTTTTACCACAGGGTTTGAAAGAACTCCAAAAGGCCACATAGTACACCACCCTATCCCATAGCAAATCGGTTACAGACATGTCTGCCTGGTTTGCTTTCACACAACTCCAGTAAAAGAAACTCCATAGCCTCCCTGGCAATGGCAACCCCTTCATATTCTTCAGTATATTTGAAACACAGGACTTCAAGTCTAAACTTAACTGGTTTGGATTGCATCCGTTACCTTGTCCTAGCTGCTGTGGCCATAGCAAACCGATTCGTGTTTGTAGCACCCGAAAGGTACGGGAGAACTTCTTTCCCTCACAATCTTGACTAAGCCAATCATCATGCCTTCAGTTTTTGGTGATAGGTCTAGTATATATGGCATATAAGCACTCCTACTTCTTTATGGGTTTATCCTTAAAATAGGATGCGTTTTCTTGAAGTATAGTCCCCAAAATTGAACATACTGCTTCATCTGAGGCTTTACAGAATCAGGTAGACTGAACACAGCATTTCATGTGTCTTTCAGGCTATTTCCTGTTTATATAATCCAATTTAGTATAGGGTTGGTTTGTTTGTTTTTAAAAATATAGCAGCATGACACCGTCCAATTGCATTTACTATGTGACCAACTGACTTTGACTCATTACCTAAGGAATCTTTCCATAGCCAATAATTCTTAATTCAGATTTGATCCTAGCTTCTTATACTACTCTGAATGTGATTTATTGAACTGTACTTTACATTTTTAAGACTGTATTTGTAGTCTGTCAGGGTCTTTCCATTCTAACTCCACTGTTGAGCCTACAAATTTCAAACTTATCATTTGCAAGTTTAATAAACATTCTCAATTATACAAGGCACTCAAAAGTACTGAACAGACCCAGCATAGATCTCTGTGGAATACCATTTCGTGTTTCAAATTTGGCAACAATGTACTTAACTTCAAATTATTTTACACTCTTCTTCCCATAGTAGATCCTTCTGAATTATGCTTTTAAGATTACTTGTTAGGATACTTAAAAAGACCATCAAAAGCAAAAGCACTAAGATTTCATGACATAAAACACCCGCCTCTTGTTCACAAGGCCTGCTGTGGACAGGATTTCTTTTCACGAGAGGAAATCAAACCGGTTTGTTATGAGCTGTTCTCAGCAAATCCATTTTGCCTACCAATGACACTGTGATTATTTTTCAAGGTGCTTATTTCAATTTTGGCAAAATCATGTCCATGTCATGTGTGTCCCTTGTCCTGAGCTGATTACTCCAACTTTTAAAAAATGTAATATTTGCTTCTCTCCAATTTTCCAATACCTCACTGATTCTCAGTGCACTTCAGGACAATCAGAAGCAACACTTGAAACAACTTGCAAGTTATTCTAAATGTTATTTCAAGCTGTTTCTAATGCCGCTTGTTTTAAAAAGGGATGATATCAGATTTGAGCTGAAAAGGCTTGCAAAATTTTATGTGTGAAGATGTAAGTCTAGACTAGTTGATCATCACAAGAATATGTATCATAATAACTTTTTTATGTTTTCTTTAGAACAATCTATATTAGAACACCAGCATCAGCTTAGTGCTGCTTCAAAGGATAATTCTTGTATCTATTGCCATAGTATATTATACACTTATTTGGAAGCATTATTTTATTTTTAAAGCCAGATCTTAAACAATTATCTACGCCAGTTTCATTTTCTAAATCAATACACATTTTTATTAACAGTAGACATTACCTGGGAAGTTTTCACACAATACTTCTATAGGGGTTGCTCGTTTTGTGTCTCCAATTTTCTGGTAACGTTCTTTTAATGTATCAGCCTATGATACAAGAATAAAACAAGCTTCTGAAGTTATACAGCTTGCAGACAAACTTTAAAAAGAAAAGATCATGGCAAGAAAAGCTGATGATCTGAAAATAGGATAGAAGAAGGTATCAAAAACCACTACCTTTAAACCTTGCCATGGAAGGCTTCCTCTGAGAAAATACATAAACATATGACCTAAAGCTTCCAAATCATCTCTTCTACTTTGCTCTGAAACAAAATTCAAATATTATGAGAACATTCAATCTTGAGTAATTTTACATTGTATTTAAAAGGTTAACTTCCAAATTATGTAAAAATAATTAGGAGGTATGAAGTACTTCAAATCAAACTGAGCATGTAGGGGGCTTCTTGTGTACTATAGACTCCATTAAGAACACAGCTAAAACAAAAAAAAAAGCAGATGGCAGACTGCAGGTATATTCATCTCAACAGTACCTTAAATTATCTTGCTATAAGAAATTGTTCGTATTTTAAAGCATATTTTGACCCTTTACATATATAATTGCATTTTAATTCCAACATTTTTTGATCCATTAGTTAAGAACTTGAAACAATTTAAGAAAGCTTTAATTGAATTCATTTTCCCTCTATAAAATCACAGAAAAGATGGCATGATTCCCAGGGAACCATTATGCAATTTCTGAGTAAGCCAAAGCTGGACTGAAGGAGGCTCAGAAGTCTTATTATTTGGTCAGAAAGCATCGTGAAGAGGCATGTACATACAGCCTGCTCTCAAGCCTAGGTGACTTAAAAGCTAAGTTACAGAAGACAATGTCTGGCATGCCCACACTTTTTCATCTGTAGTAGAGCAGTAGCAGTCCTTCAAAAAGTTCAGAAAAGGTTAAAGAAAAAGGGAAGTAACAAGCAATATGCAGTGCATTCAAAGTTCAAAGTTTTCAAAGTACTTTCCAGATTATTTTTAAATAAAATCCATTATTCTTAGGAAAACAAATAACAGAGAATAGTAAAAGTCTTTAAACGACTAGTAGAAAACAGATTTTTACATTTTCACCTGGCTTCATTCTGTACTGCTGTTGAAACAACTGTTAGTGTATTATGCTTTGTAGTACCAGGTAGTATTTACCTCTAACTTTGATTTCCTCCCTGACATAAAGCAGAAAACCAAGATATTATCAGTGTTTCTACTCGGTATTTTCACAAGGACAAAATCTTGCTCTTTGAGAGCAAGAGAAATGGAGCAGAAAAGTAAATGAAAACATGTTTGCTAGATTTTGAACACAGGGGAGTTAGCAAAGCCAACTTGGCTTTGATCTGATCAACACGAAGTATTGCCACAAATACACTGCACCCGCAAAACCATTCTTAATCTTCATATAAAAAAAAACTATTTACTTATTACTCTGTTTTCTACCCCTATTTTCTCATTTGAACACTGAGTAAACACATACTAGCAAATCAGCAAGAAAATACCAAAAAAAGGTATGGTAATTCAGAGCATGGGCTACATCTAGCCCCTTACTTCATTACACATCTGCCAGCCTTATGAGGCTCTTTCACAGTCATTTCTCCTTCACTTGTTTCCATGTTTCCAATTCCCTTGCCAACACTCTTCTTGTTTGTGTCCACTCCGCCACTCTTGTCCACTGCTGCCACTTTTCTCAGTAAGCGCCCTACAGACAATCTGGTCTTACTTGAATTTCTCTGCCAACCCTGCAACATCACATTTGCTGACCATGTGCTATCCTGATGCAAGCACGTAGATTAAGAAGAAAGCAGGAATAAGCGGTAGAGTTCTGTACCTGACAGGTTTCAGTACATGAAGGAAACACTGACTCCAGTTGCCTGCAGAAATCCTGTGCTCTTTATGAGATAGGGTGGACATGGAGACAATGAGTACTTCATGAGCACTGCTCATGACAAACATTTTGTGCAATGCAGGGTGTGTTTTACGTAAGACAAATCAGCAGTAAGATGGTGGCAAAGCATACAAAAATGTTAAAAGTGCACAACGGACAGCCCATCTATGGGCAACACTAAGGTATGGCCAACAAAAATGCATTGGAAAGTTCTATTTTGGTCTTTGCTAAAGAACAGTAATTTCTCTCTTTTGCATTAACTTCTATTATGCTGATGAAAAATTAACCTCCTCTTAAAAAAAAAACACAAATACACACACCTTATTGAGGCAATTGCTCCTTCACTGAGAGTCCTTTCTATGAAAGGAGAAACTTTCAATCTTTACCCTGAAATGATCTCTAATTAACTTTTTTTTTTATAAGTTTTGGACCATTGCAGGTATTTCTGTAGGATAGTTCTGGGTAACTATTTCTATGACAGACCACTTGAATTCACAATGCTCTCAAGAATCTGCTATGGAAAGGATTTTTTTGTTTGTTTTAATTTTTGGGGAAGGGGTTCATTATTTAGAATCCACTTCAGTTCTTCACTAATCACTTTGGAGTAATTAAAAAATAGTAGTCAAATATCCTTTCCTATGGAATTCTTCAAGAAAAGCCTGAGAAACAGAAAACCCAGATTGTATTGCTACTGTTGGAACAAGTGCCTCCAACAAATGGAAAAAAATCCCGACCTAGCAGTGGACTAGCTGGAATACAAAAGGATTTCAAACACCTGCTGGAAGAAGGGCTGCTGATGTACACCAATCCTAGTGCATCACAATTTAATGAGATTGAGAGGATCTGTTGCCTAAAAGGTAATACGATCATAAGATGACAAACACACAATAAAGCTTTAGGGCACACAGTCTCCTCTCTCTCAAGGTCACCTGAAGCTAGCTAAATTAGTAAGAAACTAATACCGGTTATTTAGTTCACAAGCTATAGATAAATTAATCATCTCAATCCAAATAGGTTGATTTTAGTAAGAACTAGAACCTCATTCAGCAGCCTAGCTCCGTAACACAGGTCAAACAACAGACATTCAGTCTTCAGTAAGCATCCATTCTACACACTGCACTCCCCGTCCAAAGAAGGTTTTACTGCTTTCTGTAGGAATGCTGAAACAGTAGAAACATACTATCTATTTGGATCAGAAAACACGGTATTAGCTACAGGGATGATTACAAGGTTTGATATACAGACTCATTACTGTAATCACAAAGTAAATGGAAAGGGACAATCTACATACCATGAACCGTCGGTCTATAAAGTTTAGCAAAAATAAATTGCAAAGTTATCACCCAGATTTTGTACTCTTACTAAAAATGATATGATTCTATACAGCAATATAATTTGACAGAAAGAGCAGCATCCCTTTCTGAACAAAATCATGACTCCTGAAGTTAATTATTCTAGTTCATAAAAATGAAGTTGTATGCCAGCTTTATCATAAGCACATATTGTATTCCATACTGTTCTGTTAAGAATAATGTGCACTTTATGGAAAAAAATCCCATTTTCAGTTATACCTTTAAGTAAGGGAGCAAAGATTTATTTAGTTCAGTTTGTATTAGAAACGTTGTTTCATATAATTCTGGATTTATAAGGTTAGTTTACGCAGAAAAAGGTATTTATTTAAGGCAGTTACAGTCTCACCCCTGAGGTCCAGAGATAATTCAGTGGGTCTGAGAAGGAGACTAGTGAACTTCCTATGGGGGTCCTAGGTCTGGAAAAGGACTTCATCTTGCACCACTGGCTCAGTGACAAGTAAAAGTTGCTAGGACTCCTGGAGGGTCATCACCACAAAGCACAGCCTGTAACTGCAGAACACACTTTTTTTCTTTGAGTTTCTGGAAAAATTCCAGGATTTAGGCTAATATAATTTAAAGTGCAAACGTTTATTTTTCTTATAATAAAAAAAATGCATTAAAACTGATCCAATGTGGAATTATTTTTGCTGGTGTAGATTACAAAAAAGACTGGCCCCTAGAAAATTGATTTTAAATTAGAACATATGAGAGGTCTGATAACAGAGTAGATCTACTACAAAGGTAAGGTGGGAGGGGTTGGCTTTGCTTGAAGAAAAGTACTGTTTAAAGAAACAGACTGTATTTTGTCTTTCAATTAGCATTAAAGAGCAGAGCTGTGTCATTCTCAAAAGAGTCTCAGGTATTCATGGTAAGATAACCTCTGCCTCTTCAATAATTAAGCACCACCAAGAAAAGACCAATACAACCAAGGACATTTGTTGCTTCCCCAGAGACCATTAGCGATAGCCATATTACAGCAATAACTTTGTGTGACTACACTTCCTGTAGCCAAATAACCTAGACAACAATTCAGCATGCTGTTTTTCTGAACTTAGGGAAATCCCAAAACAATTACCAATTTAGATTTCTAGCAAATACAGGAAATTGTAGGACTTTTACAGGCACAGATTTTTGTCTTCCTTAAGCTCCCAGTCAGAATCTACATTCTCTGGGATCCCTCTCTCTCTTCCTGAAAATGAAGGGAACTGGAAAAGCAGCATAATTTTATGCCCAAGAGAAATTAGCTTATGGAAGCAAGGGCACCAGCCACATGCTGATAAGGGCTGCAGAATATTTGTATTTCCTTCAAATAGCTACCTGAATAAAGCCACATTATTTCTCACATAGACAAAATACCTTCTACTCCAGATACAAACTCCCAGCTTGGCACAAAACTACCAGAAACCCTTGATCAAATGTATGTTTCTGGAACAAAGTATTATTGACATAATTGGCTACATGATGTTCATAGCTATACAACACCTTCTATATACATGTCAAAAGCGTGGGCCTTGGTAATTTTGTGCAAGTTTCAACTATACAGGCAAACATTTAAAGTCTTTCACTATGCACTTGTTACAAGAGTTTTAAGCACTATGGATCCTAAAATGTACTTCTGATCAGAGCACAACATACTTTCTTATTCATACGTACCAACACAGAACAAGTTACAGTTCAATAAATGCATGCTTGAAATCAACCTGTAAAAGAATGTGAACCTGACAGTCCCCCTTTACTGAAAACACACTTAATTTTTACATGGGTCAGCTGACACCTCGGACAGTTAAGAATCAGTAATACGTGCATTAGTTTTGCTACCAGACCATTCAAGTTGCTAGGAATATTACCTACAGCCTAAACATACTGCCCTAAAAATTTCTCTTACTACCAGTATTTTCAGTGCTCAATTTATCCTATATGCCACTGTCTCTGCAACCAAAGGGACAACAGAGCTCAAACAACTTCAGTGTTCCATATGTCCCACTGCAACAATTAAAAAATACAACATTTTTAGAGGGGAATCACAGATCATACAGAA